TTGGTGTGACCTGTAGCACTACATATATGTACATATATGTAGCGCTACTGCCAGTCGAGCCCCTGGGAAACCCAAGAACCCGGCTGTATGATTGACATATCTCGCAAAACATTCGAACGCGATGTTTCACAGACTTCGTCGGGKTACCAGGAATAAAAAACATAGCGTACAATAAACATCTTACGATGAATACTATAGCACTATGTCTGACATGAACTATGCKGACATTTCAAGGCAAGCCCAAAATAGACAGACATAGTGCATGTGGATTTTAGTCACCTCTTACGACAGGCATGCCTTACCACGGTTATTTCGGTTTCCCCCCCAACCTGGAGGGGTCCCCCCTACCCGCAGGGTGAGAAATCCATTGATCAATGCGATGTGTGAGAAGGGGCGCCGTTTTGTTAGCTCTTTAATTTCGATTATYAAACAGTCGGTTATCATGGTGCAATAACGGCCGCCATTGATGGTTACATTTTCAMCKCCATCATTTTTGATAAAATGGGTGTCAGCGATGAAAACGTCGGATCTTCTTCTAGCTTTTCAAGAGCCGATAGAGCGAAGARATGTCGCTTGGAAAAGTCGGAAGGCATCAGTTCTTGTACAAGTTGTATTTTGTACGCTTTCAATTTAAGATCGTATACTCTYTCAACAACGGCTGCTATATTTTTATACTCTCGCAACAAAGTTGCTAAGGAGAGTATTATAGTTTTGTTCACATAACGTTTGTTTGTAAGTCGTAAAACTAAAAGAGTCAGATATGGGGTTATATATACCAAAGTGATCAGGGTGACGAGTAGAGTTGAAATCTGTCTGTCCGTCCGTGCAAGCCGTAACTTGAGTAAAAATTGAGATATCTTGATGAAACTTGTCATGCGAGAGTATAAAATGTTTGGTGATACCTGAACTTAGCCCTTCCTTACTAGTTTTTTTTATTGCGAGCTGGAGATCACGTCCAGTCAGTCAAATTTATCGGTCGAATATTATCCAATATTGAATGCTGGGCTTCAAGATGGGTGATGATGTTGCGATGGCCATAAGTTGAGCAAAGTGCGCGATTCACATTACTTACGGAACGTAAATTTTCATAATATTGTTCAATAATGAAATGCCAAAAATATTATTTAATAATATTAATAATTAACAATTCTTTGCATTAAGAGAATGAAATCCTGATTATWGTAAGCCTTAACCCAATTTAGTTATGGAATCTAGATATTAGTTTGGCTTGCGATATATTTCTAGATTGAGAAGCAGGTCGTGTCCCATTAGCTTGTTGCAAAGGTTAATTAATATTATGTATATATGTAAAGTCATGTGATAATTTCTGTAATTTCTTTTCTCTTACATTTGCTCTATTTTCATTAATTGATCCACATCCAACTGGTGTGCTTGTGACAACTTACTTATGGCATCTCAACCATGCTACTGTCATCTCTTAATACGTGTGACATCATCATCAACATGATCTTGCAATGCTTTACTGAATTCAATTTATCACTCCTTGTTTGTCTTATCTACTGTAGAGATGAAACATCACGAAGAATTGCTCGAGGATATTAGAGATGACGCCTCAACGAATTTATTACCTGACAAAGGTGAGTATGAAATATAATATATGATGAATAAGAGCGAAAACCACATTAAAAGTTTACGGTCATATTGTTGGCTCAGATATTTTTTCTCGAACTGGTTATATTACTGATAAATGTTAGTATTTTAAAACATTTTAAAATAATATTGCAAAACTGATATTTATTAACAATAATAATACCCAACGATTACTCTCCTCCCTCCCCACCTACATGACTAGCGTAATCAACAAATGAGCAGAATTCGATGAGTCATAAAAGGCAAGAGAGTTTTTAAGCGTTGCCGCCTTAGTTGGTCTAAGCTGTCTGTTGAGCGAACGGGAACGTTAAAATTAATATCAGACAACTGAGGTGGACTATAGACTGATCCATTCATAAATTTTACAAGAAATATTATCCCAAGCATTTCTCTACGACTATCGAGCAGAGGTACATTTATAAGTTTTAAAAGTTTAGTATATGGAGTATATACTATATATATAGTATATGGACGAAACGAACTCTATCTTCTCCGTATGGACTTGATCTCTAAAGCTYACCAAAGGTGTAGAAATAATTCTCTTAATAAATGGATCTTTAAATTCTCTAGACCAAAGTTTAAAAAATTAAAAAGCGCCTTTAAAAAAATAAGTTGTCTAAGGACAGTGACAATAAGATGCAAAAATAATTTTTTCCGTTCAATTTGTAACAATTTTCAATGCAAATAGAAATTTTCAGTTAAATAAACCTAAAAAATTATAGAACCATATTCAAATTGGATACCATAATATACAAAACATACATTGGCGACATGGTCATTTCATTCAGACGTATGACAAAACGGCTGTCATTTAGAAAAACAGCATTTTTATACTAAAGTTTATTAAAATTCTACCGAAATGCCAAACTATATACATATTCCGAAAATGGAGAGTAATGTGTGGAACACAATGCTAGCGACAGACTGCAGCAGCACGACAGTGAACTGAAGATGGCGTTGTGAATCCTACTACAAGAACGTTTGTGAGGGGCAGCAACATAACAATGGCCGGCATGTACACAAAACAATGCTGCTGCCCATTCTGCATGTACACAATTTCGTTGTGGCCATACTAATACCTTGCACTTCAATGAAATTTTAATATTTTGTTCAAAGTGAAATTTTTAAGCAAAAAATAAGTAAATAGGTAAATTTGTTCGTTTTAAATTATCAATTGTTATTACAAATGATGTAACAGAGCTATTGTATGCT